TTTTTTTTTTGCAATAAAATGTTTGAGTATGCAGTGAAGGATACTTGAGGAAACTTTCGAATGGATCGTTATAAATTTTGGGAATGTTTCATGCTGTATTTACACATTTCGTACATTTTCCAATATCAAATTATGTCAAGTTTTGAATTTATAAAAATAAGATCTGGTTGTTTGTCATCGACTGTGTCAAATTAAAAGCAATCTTATTGTATGGCGTTTATATATTATGTTGATGCAATAATCAGAATCATTATGCTGCAGTGATCAAATTATGCGAAAAGCTTTTGAGTCATGATGCGCTATAGATTTTTGTGTTTTTTTTTTGAGAAAATTTTAATTTAACACGATGAATTGCTTGAATTATCTCGAAATTCACTTTGAAGTGTGCAATAGTCGCAGCGATCAGAAAAGTCGTATTGCTTCTTTTATATCTCTTGCAATGAGACATCTGCTTTCATTAAGTTTTTATAATGTAAGTGTTAACTGGTTCTTCAGAAGATGTACTTAACGCTTACTTTTTCTTATAAATTTCACCAGATGAACCAGTTTGATCATCAGTTCTTTATGTTGACCGAATGATTAACATTCGGACCATCAAATACGGCTCGGATTTTTCGCATTTCATTCCTGTAATGTACTATGTTCAGTTGGTTTTTTATTGCGATTCCTTAGAGATGTGTGAAATTCGAGTGTTACTTTCAGTAGAATAACATCAAATTAGCTGTCATTCCCCCGTGTTCCTTAAACCTAAAAGACGTGATAAAATGCATTATTAGTCGTTAACTGCTGTGTTCGCTAATCTTGAGCAATATTTTCGTACACGTTCAAAAATTCAATCCTTCACTTAAATTGGCGTTTGTTTCATTCATGCGTCTACTAAATAATATTGAATTTGTTAGCATTTTGTAGTCGAATTTTCATCATAAACATTGGGAATATGCGGTTCAACTCAGTCTCGTAAGTGTAAAGTTACTTAGCGATGAAATTGCTTTGAATGAAATGAAACTGTATTGTGGGAAATATGTGACGATCGTGATCTGTTCATTCCCATGTGATCACATACGAATGTAATTGAAAAGTGTATTTGTGTTATATTTTCTGGCTTTTCATCTATTTCAGCTTCATTCGGTTCGTTTGGTCATTTGATTTTGATGATTTTGCTAACTAGGATAGCATAATTGACTCTGTTTCTCAGAGCACCAAGAATATCCCGAGAAGAAATGAAGGATTGATTTTTTGAGATGAGAATATTTTCATCTTTCACATGAGAGAGCTTTCATCTTTTTCTATTGAATTTCGTTATTGAGATCATATGTGAAGGAAACAGAGGAAAAATTGAAATTAATTAAGGAAAAAATTTTCTAAATGAATTTGTTTGATTGAAATTTTTGGCTCCCTAAATTGTTTGANTCTTTATGAAACCATTCATTCTCTGTTTTGCAGTTTCCACTTACCGCATCATCAAACTAATTGGAATTTTTCATTACTAACTTCATCAATAATTCATTCTTATTTGATAATTTCAGTTGCACCAAAAGAATTTATAATGCACTCACCTGAAGCACTTCTTGAAGAGTGTGTATTTGTTGGTATTATATAATTACTTTGAAGACACCTCGAAGACGTTCTTTGCTTAAACAAATAAATTCATCAAAGACAAATAGCACTTCTGTTTAAGTTGATATACTGAGGAATTTACTTTCTTTTTTTTAGAATATCCTAGTCGAACGATGAGGTTTGTTGAATTGTATTCCTTTTTCTGTGCGCCCAAAAAGTGTAAAATAATCCGGAATGCAGTGGTAATTAGAGCCGCCATATTCCTCTAAATAACTCCATCAGTCACTAGAAAATTGAGGAATTTGTATGTCTCAGTGTTCTTGACCAAGTAAGTACAGTTTCTGATTGATGCCAAAGTTGATGTCTCTCTCAAATTGAACACTTTTACTGTGCAGCTTTTTATGACAAAAATGATTTTGAGATGAGAAAAAATTTCGATTTATTTTTTCCATCGGACTTTATTTTGAATAGAGCACATAGTTTTTTTCTGGAAGCGCTCACTGCGATGGTCGGTGTCGTACGTAAAGTGCGTTTTGGTAACATTTTATCATTTGAACTAGTATTTGTCTCATAACAGTCTTCGCAATGAAAAGTGTAACGAGTTGTCAACCGGTTTTCAGTATTTCCAGTAGAGTATGTTTTTTGCACGATGCTCACATCAGCGTTGCAATATTTCACTTGCAATGCTTTAATGTAAAGTGAGTTAATGAAATTCAAACAGCAGTGACACTCATGACAGTGCTAATGATGATAACAAGAACAGTGACAGTAATTATCGAAATTCATTCGTTTCGTGCATAATAAACTTGCAGATAGCTGATCTGATGGATGGTACCAGTCCGAATCAACCGACACTAAAGCGATTTTCACGCTACAACCAGTCGATGTATTCAAGACCCTCTTCGTCGTCGACGTGTACAAATGAACCAACAAGCTCTTCGTCTTCTTCTTCTTTAACCACTTATTCACCATCTTCATATTCACAAACATTTTCCAAAGGGTTTCTTCTTTAAATACATTATTCTCTTCATTCATTACCTCAGTTCACATTCAGCACTTATTCATCTCTCATATTGCCACTTTTATTTTATTATGTTGCGCATTCATCGTCTTTGTTCTTTTTTTGGTATTCTTTTGATTACGAATGCTAACAATAGTTGAATCGTATACTGCAATGGGGAAATTATCTGCAGTCACTTCGCACGAAATGTTTGATTCCATTACCAACTGAAATAATCATTTTGATTCCCAGAGTTTCACTTTTATTCAATTGCGATTATTTGCTTGTCATGTCTCAGCATCGTTGTGATAATTGCGCGAACTTGTTGTCAACCACATCCATTATTTTATTCGTTTTCGCTTGTTCATTTCCTCCGTTTCATGTAATCACAAACATCAAATTGTATATTTTGATGTGGGACAAATTGTACCTTTTTCGAAATCTATCTTTGATCGTACCTTCAAATGATTTTGTTCATCAATTACGACAACATTTCCAAGCTATTTTCGATGCGGTAAAATTGTTCTTAAGATTCATTACCGCAATCGTTCGATCAAAACTCGAAGGATTCTTTCAGGGGAAAGCTGAAGACTGGAATATTCAGTGGAAATTGGACCCTCCGAGACAAAAAAGAGATGCGACCTTCGGTTCACAGCATCACCGTGGTTCCCATACGAAAGTATGAACATGTTTGCTCATTCGTTAAATGTGCACTTGTACACTCATTTATGACTGAATGAGGTCTATTTCTGCAAGTGTCATTCAAGAGGTTCACCCCATTAATTTCTTTGACAGTCTCTGGAATCCGATGAATGAAGACGATTTGAAGCTATCTTAAATTGGTGATGTTCTCAGCAAAGAACAGTGAAATTCATTGACAACTTTTTGGAAACTTACATCGAAATTAAACATTCATGAAAGAGTGTCATATCACTTGTGTTGTTTTGTATGCATTTGCTATTGATTTTATAGTATTTTTAATGTATGCTATACTTTTTTTAACGTTTCATCCATCGAGTACTAAAAAAGCAGTTCAGATTGTGCATTTTCGTTTATTTCCCACTGATTAAATTAGAAAATGATTCACAGTTAGAACAGTTCGGTTTTCTGTCTTTATTCTAGAATTACTCTCCATTCATTCATCTTTCATCGCAAACAATTTTTTGAGCCAATGAACGTCCACTAAGACATTTTCCACTCATGAGGCGATGGGATATCTAAGGTTTAAAAAATTGACCTATGCTGCAAGAGAATAAAAGTGTATTCGGATGATTTCAGAGCGATATCCTTATCTGATAGTAATCATCCATCGTCAGCAACGACGAAATCGCAAGGCAGTGGTGATCAAGCATCCAACTGTGATTCAGTGATTCATCGCATCAGTGATGATACTTTAAGGATTAATGAACAACTGCGCAATGCACCAATTCGTCGACGCGACTCATTGATTGAATATTCTAAAAGGTTAGTTCATCACTTAGTTCATTTACTGATTGATGATGCACTTCTTCCAAAATTTAGTTGTTCGCTTCCCCTAATGAGTTTACCATTCTTCTATTACATGTCACTTCAGCAATTCATTTACTGTAGTGCACTCGTTTTCATAAACCTCTTTTATGAGATTCGTTTTTCACACAGTAGTTCGATTCAAAAATTTTAGTCATTTCCAAGCGAGAAAATAAATCTGAATTGCAATGAATTTTTCAGTTTCTTGTAGTCCAATTTGAATTGTTGGGTGTTGGGATGACTCACGCGTCATTGATTCTATTAAACATAAAACAAAAACCTTAATGAGTCATCCATCCAGATGATTGGTTTGTTATGTTCTTTAGCTGAGTTCACGTTCAGTCACTGGGTATGTAGTAGATAGCAGTCGTATGCGAAAAGCAAAATTCGTTTTGGAATGATTTCGTTCTAGTTTAATCAGTTGTCATTATATGTGTAGGATTGTTCCGTAAATCATGANCAAAAAAAACTAGCTAATAGAAATGATCATAAATGATTTGTGCACCTGTAAGCGAAATGAAAAATTTTAAGAAGTTCAGCGAGTATAAGACGTTTCATCAGTTCACTGTAAGTGGTTTTGATTATTTTATCAACTGGGAATGTTTACACTGATTTATTCATGGGCTTCATTAATTCGACTTTTGGTTCATCTAATCTCGTTGTTTTGTTCGATTTCGAATTGATTTTTGTTAGAGCGGTGGTCTGATAGCATTCGTTTGTACGAACGAAATGATCGTTTGATTTTTATGATAATTAACCAGATTTAATTAGCATTTGCCCTGAGTCTTTTGACGTTTATCTGAGTCGTTTGAGAGAATGGACAATTCATGAAAAGAATGTCGGAGATTAATTCAACGAGCGATTGATGATATTGAAGGGAATTATTTACTGGGCTTGTCGATGCAGTGGTCATTTTTCAGTGGCTCTTGTAACACGAATAATTAGTTTTTTTAACGCAATCAGAGCTGCAGTGAGATCGAAAATGTGACTCATTTTATGAAATTCCATTCACTGTGCAGACATATAAACATTTTGAAAATCGTTGAATGCTTATTTTTTTGCTTTTCAATCTTTTGACCGCTTACTAATTGATTTACTCTTTTGCTTNTTTGCTTGCGCTTGAGCTATATTCCTTAGTTACTTCATTGTTTTACTTTTTATCACGTTATTTGGCCATTGATCAGCTCTTTAATCATTCATTCATCGATTTTATCGCTCATTCATTTCATTAGTATCAGCAAATTGTCATCGCTGCTTCTTGTTTACAGGAACAACTTTCCTAATGCACAAGTATTTCATGCAATATCAGTTGCAACTTTGTAATTTCGATTACTACAAAATGTGTGATTAAATTGACTCACTCAAGTCACTTTTCATAGCATCGATCCTTTTTAGTATCGCTTATTTCATCAGCATAACTTAAGGGTATCACTATGCGATCGGGTTATCAGCTCATATTTCAGCTATGAATGATTAGCGAATGTTGATATTCTTCAAACTTAATTTGAAATCAAATGAGTTGAATGTTGATTAATCACTAACGGGTTTCGTAATTTACTAATGTGATGCCCTGTTGTTGGGATGTTATTTGCATGATTGCGTTATGTGTCCTCTTTGAGTTCAATCGTTTGCAAAAAATGAATCGTTTCGGTTAATTTAAATCTTTGGCTTTCATTTGATCGCTATTCAACCATTTAATTTCAATCAGCTTGTTAAGAAAACTTTTGAAATTTATTCGCTGCTTTAAACAAAACATTTCCAATTGCTACCGCAAATTTAGGTACGTCAGCCACACTTCATCTAACCAATAATTCAGAGTATCACATAGTGTGACTGAGTTCGTTGTTATATTTGGAAAGATTTTGTTTTACATAAACTCATTTACGATTACTGTTATTCATTTTTGAGAATGAGAACAACCCAATTTGAATTGAGCTTTCTAATTGAAACATTCATTTACAGAAATATTACCATTCAAAATTCTTCTGACTTCACTTGCAATATACCACTTTGAGCATAGCTATTCATCAGCAGTGTTGTTTTGTCATGAACCAACGAATAACGTGTGCGATTGATCTCATTAGATGTTTTACTACGTATAAAAATGGCAGTTAGATTTAATGCAGGTTGTAATGCGCAATAATGATATCAGTTGTAATATTCAAGTGAAATCTTGCAGGTAAAAAAAAGTAACGAGAAAAAATTTTTTTAGTTCGCATCGAAGTTAAATGCTTTCAGACGGTTAGCGCCATCATCTCAAATCAGCAACGAACGAAGCAATAACGCATCAAAGTCATTGAGCCAGTATGGTAATAACTCAAATGATAGCGATACCTACTCATCCAGTTTTGAAGTGAATCAGGCAAAGAACTCCAACAAAGAGCGTTTCATTCCCATTCAGATCAAAAATCAATTAAACAGCGAAGGCAATAACAACAGTCGACAAATCTCTTTATCAGGTACGCAATCGCACGTTCGTGACTCTTCGTTTGCCATTTTTTGACGGTATCCTTCCGATGTGTTGTAGTCCTGCCGAATACTATTCGTAAACTGTGCCATCTTTAATGGTACTATGTTGGTGAATATCTCAATAAGTGATCTAAATAATGGTAGTAAGTATACAGTGATTATGTTGAAAACCTGGCGGCGCAGTAAAGAGTTTCGTTTTTTGTAATCATCTCGTTGTTTGTTCGTCTTAAAAACCTTCATTTGCAAGATAAGCATTCGGACGAATTGAGTGTATATCACTTGAGTACTGAAAAAGAGTTTACGGAACTCACACATTTTCAACTGTTGATGCTTTTTTTCTCTAAATTGGGACGTTTTCATCCCTCGAAATGCGATAATGAGGTCGTTTTTTGTTCAGTGTCATAGTATCGTTCTGAGTGTTAGTTGTAGACGTACTTGAATAGATGAAATGGTAGCACTAAAATTGTTAATTATAACTATCATTCATTTGACTTTTTGCGATGTCTTTCTTTATTTAACGTAATGCATACATAAAACTAAGTTATCCGTTTTGTTAAGATATAATACCATCAGTTTAAAATATTACTAACACTTGAGTTGCGATTAGAAATTTTTCGAAGCTGTTCGAATTGTAAAAGATATTCGCTTGCTCAACTTCCCAGAGGGAATTTCATAGCAGATTCTTCGAGGATGCTTCCCCTGGAACAATTTCCTAAAACGTACTTGAATATATCATGTTTTCAACTTGAAGAATCACATATTTCAAATTCACTGCTTTTTAAAGTTGATTTATGTTCTCTTCTTTTGTTGTTCCGATAGAGATTCTCGATAAACTTTCGTCAACATTCTTTGCATTCCAATCGATTCTTCCCTTGAGAGTACGCATCCGCGCAGACATCCATTAGCGTTCAGCCAATGTTTCCTTATTATGAAAGTACATCTTATTGCTTCAGTTTTTTCTAATAGCTAATGTGAAAAGAAACATATTAGAATTTTGCAATCGCGATAGATTGCATTCGACTGGATGTGATCATTTCCTGAGTTATGCGAAATATCTCTGATAGGGATGTTTCCGATGCGTTTTGAAATAGCATTCGATTTTCAACGTACAGTTCATGTATTTCATCAGTGCAGCAAATACCATGCGTATTCAGTTATGTTCAATCCATTATCGCATATTCAAGGTTTTTTGTTTCCCGTGATCAGTCAATGCCACCTTACTTTCATTAGGCGAATGATTATGAATGCCAGTGTCATTATGATTAATGATGCCTTTACTGTTATGTTCATCGATTGAATTTCAAAAATCCGTCGTGAGAGCCGTTTATTTTATCGTTTGGTACATCAAGTTTTTGATTTCGATTTCACTCCTTCAGCTCTGATGAATTTTATGCATTGATGAAAGTCAAATGACTGTTACAGATTCACGGAAAGCGGCGAATTCACGAGAGATAGCTGTGAAACTGAGCACTGAACAGTATTCAAAATCTTCTCTTGTCGATAAAAGGTTCGAAATTTTCAAATCTCTCTTCAAAACTTTGTAGTGAGTTGAATGGACTGTGAGTAAAGTGGGTTTCAGAATTCATTCAATGTCGTTCCCGATGAGCACGACAAACGAAGACGACGACGACAACAACTCTGAGGAATCTCTAGTCGAATGTGGTAATAAATCAAGAATTGATACCAAAAGAACGTTGGGTGTGGCGATTCAAGATGAGCTGAATGGCAATGGTAATAGTATCGACAGCACAGAAGATGCCAACAGTGATAACTTCGATCCGAATCATGCTGCAACATTTTTTGGTAAGCATTTGCAGATGCTTATTTCAGTGGGTTTCTAGTCGTAAACGTTCTTCTTGATGCTTCTCGAGGGATTGCTGAGAACATTCCCCGAGCGATTTTGTCGCATTTTCATGAGACGTGATCAGTAATATAAATCAGATGATTCACAATCGTGTCGTCTGAGGCGTATTGGTGGTGTCAAGTCGGTTGGAACAACACGAAGACATTGGCATCGGCCAGTCAATGATGTTCGTTTCATTTTTGTTCCTTTCCAAACTTTCACCAAATTATTCCATCTTCTTTGGAATCAGGTGTATTCCAAATGTTTTTCGATTTAAAAATTTCAATCTTGTATCAGAAGAACGCAATGTTCTGGCAAGTACATCATACAATGACACTGAGACAGGAATAAACAAAAGTACATAACAATGTTCTTTGTGTGGGAATCCTTCAGATGATATTATGCATCTCTGTACATTGTTTCTTATCTCTATGCGTCATGATATGGTTTGCTTGCGAGAGCATTGCATCTGTCTGATATAAGATTCAAACTTCTAAATCAAGAAACATTTAGATGAAGTAATCCAAATCGGAAACATTGACCAAAACCCTCTATCTTCAAAGAAACGCTGAATACAGTTGTTTATTAAAAAAGTAGGAAAAGAAAATCAGTCAAGCTCAGTTTGCGTTTTCAAACAGCATTAACAATATTGGGGTTGCTGACCGTAATTCAATATTCTGCTGATTGTTCGTTTGTGTGCTTCAGACGAAACTATTGTATTGTCAAAGATTAGGTATAATCTAATTGGGGTACCTTTTGAACGCGAAAATTCATTTTAGAAACTAACTTCAGGTTTTTCCAAACGAACACAGTCGAAGTTTCAGTAAGGATAATGGTGTTCTACCCACACAATCACAACAGGGTCATTCCACTTCCTCGTCTTATATACCCGGTGAGCGGGATTCATCTGCCAGCTCTCCACTGAGTGAAGCACTGACAAGTCAGTTCTCGATCCATTGTAACTCTTTCGAATCATTCATCAAAAATTTGTGACCAACACCGAATAAAATGTGAAAATGTAAAATACCCAACGGATGTATTCCAAGCCGTGGAAAGTTTGACATCAATCAGCTTTCAGGGAATTTAATTGTCGATGCAGATTCAGCATATCGAACTGCTACCTCTGAATCAAGTCCGTCATCAATATCGTCGAATAATCAGAGGTATTATATTTCGGATTTGAGCAGCAACGCTCCTTCTTCATTATTTTTGAATTGCAGTGTGCAGTAAAACCACATTGTAGTGACAACTAGTTCTCTATTATCTTGTGATGACACATATCCTAATCGCTTTGCATCAGGCATTCTTTGAGCTATTTAAAATCACATTTTATAATCGAATTATCTCTGATTCGCCAGAAACGATCCATGTTGATTTGAAATACCTCAAAACATAATTGTTGACGTTTTGCTGAACGGATGATTTCGAGTGAAATTCCCACCTTCAATATTTTTCTGCTTCATTGGAACGTGTTTTTTTGATTGTCGATTGTTGTGCTTATCCTATTATTTTGTTCATAAAATATGTTTAAAAAATGGCCTCAATCAATCATAAACTTCAACTACAGCCCTGCAATGCGTAAGAGTTGTCCAGATTTGCGCAACACCACAGCACTCACCACCCTAATACAACCAAAAAATCTGGTCTCACATCGTATTCCCAACCAACGTAATCGTCGAGCACGTGAAAAACGGCAAGCAGCAGAATGGATGAAAAAAGCCGTTCATGTACGTTTGACACTTATCGATGAATAGATAGCATAACCTTTAACGTTCCTGTTTGGTATTCCCTAGACTGTGATTCGTTCATTTTTCTGATGATTAAGAAACGAATGATGTGATGTGTTACGTTAGCAGACAATTCCAAACCACTTGATGGATATGATGTGTTTAGAGTAGAATCAGTGAACATCCGATCGCACATCATTGTAGATTGAGCTGTGATGAAATTGCTAGACTTTAAAATGTTTGGTGATAATTCATTTCGTAGTTGATTTATTGCTGTCACTTCGACTCTAAAGAGGGTAATCATCTGATTGACCATTGAAATGACTGAAGCAACTGTTCTGTTTATCGCTGTCAAAGAACTACAACGAATGATGAACGTCATCTTGTAGGAATGGAGTTTCGATGACGTGTTGCTTTGGTTGCAATATTGTAAACTTGATGAAGTGGCATCAATAATGATTGGATATGATATTAATGGTGAAGACGTTGACAAATGGGATGATATTACACTCCGTCAGTTTTTCACTTTCCTTCTTTTGTGGATCTTCATTATTCCTTCACTCACGCTCAGTACAGTGAGAAATTCTCGTCACGACGTCACGAACAGTGTCTAGTGAATTCATTTCGGATTTGGGTACTTTCAGTAAATAAGTTCAGTGAATGATTGCAGTGCATTTGGGTATTGCGGATGAAAGTGTCAGAAGTGAGGTGTTGAGAAACTTGGTTGATGCAAAGAAAGCGTATGAGAAGAAGGCGGAGGACAAGGATGATAAATCGGCGAGGGTAATGCAAAATAACCATTGACTGCTGAATAACTTTCGCTCTTGCCAGTTTTCAAGTTGCTTGTTTAAGTTATTGAAAAGTGATACAAATCAGCTCATTTTATTTCAGGCAAGGCAACGAATGCCGCTGTTCAAAATGGTTCGTTCAGCGAGTTACGATAAAGTATTAGCGTTGGAAACATCGTTAACAACTCGGGATATTACGGTGGCTGAGGGGCGATTTGGTTGCTTGCAAGTGACGAAAGTGAATGGCGCAAATATCCCTCTGAAAGAGCAAGATTGGTGTGTTTTCGACGATTTTGTTCATTTTAAGATGAATTAAATCGCACGTTCGTTATTTCTCTGCTCACTTTCAAAAAATAAACATTGGTACAAGAATATGTGCTTAATTGCAGTTTTCTTGAAATCAATGACAAACCCGGCCAGCTGTTTCGATCGGCGTTGATGTTCACAAAATTGATCAGTGAAGCAGCTGGGGAACCAATTCGATTGGTCGTGTTAAGACGTGCATCTGAAGGTGACGAGGAGCTCAACGAGAATAGCCAAAATTTTTGTTATTTACGGAAAAATATCAATGTCTCTGAACAGGTTTTGTATATTTCCATTCACTGCTATTATTATCGTTTTTTTCTTCTTTGCCATGTTGTATATGATTATAACGTTTCTATTGTTGTGATTCATTAGAGGAAGTTTACTCAGGTGTCAAGAGAAAGTTGTTAGAAAGTTTGTTGGCATTCATTAGATTCAATTTTCATTTATGGTTATGACATTCAGGTTATGTGCATAAGAGAATGTCTTCATAAGAGGTATAGGAAAAGTATTGGATGCTTGCGAAAATTTACGTTTATAAATAACTGAACCAGAGGAAGAATTCTGTGCCAGTAGTATTGAGAGTAGCATTAAATGAAGATTATTCTCATTGTTTTGTTGGTCGACGGTCGCTCGGATAACGTTCTGCCTAAAAGTGAGGTTTATCTTGAGAATCAGTTGTGAATATAGCAATCTTTCAGGATTCGTCGGCCAGCAGCGGTATTTCGTCAAGTGAGGTATCTTCAGAGATAGCAGTCCCCACAAACGCAACAGTGGACCTCAACTCTGAAGTTTTGAGACTATGAATCTGCCTGGCCGAATTCGGCAATTTTCAATGATTAAATGTTCTAAGTCATCTTTAGTCAGTGTGCCGATCTGTTGAAACGCGTTCAAAATTTGCTCTTTCATTCACTGGAATCATTCTTTGAGTGGTATTGACTTTTTTGATTTGTAATGTTTGCGTTAGTGGTGCTCTTCAATGCACTCTTATCGCAACATTTTACAATTATGTTCAATGTAGCATATTTTGTACAGTTTCTGTTTCGGAAAACATATTGTGAGACATTTATGAATATTTTATTCGTTATTGCTAGTGAGTGAATGGATTTCAGTTGTCGTCAGACCTCATCAACTATAAAGTTATTGTTCTAGCTCAGAATGAACTCACTTATTAGTTGAACCAGTCTGTCAGTCGAATCCATCTCCATTGGTGTGATTTCCAAGATGGCAACTTTCTTTCTAGATCCACTGAGTTAGAAATGAGTACTCGATGGTGTAAAGAGCAGTTGCATCTTCAAGAATGTCACTCTTTCATTGTAATTGGTTGTAAAAAACATTGTTGAATGGTTCGTTTGTGAGGATCCAATGATGTGACTGGTTGTTTCGTGACCGAACGAAATGCTTGCTATTCAGCTGTAATCACGAAATATCGTTTAGTTTCATTTGTTAATTGTTTGTAAATCGAATGGATACTAAAGTTATGTATGATTAAGTAGTCAACGGTGTAATGTGAAATCTTCGCAGTTGATGTCATTTTATATGTGCGCTTTCGTCTTCGATTTATTGCATGATGCGGTTTTTATCATACGAATTTGGTGTATTAGATTTATTGGTTGCTGTTTTGTGTTGTTTTGGTGTGCATAATATGTATAATTTACTTCGAATAGGAATGACAACAATATTGATATGTGCTGATAAAATTTATCATGAAGTGATCATGCTTAGTACCGTGAACATACTATGTGCGACATTGCACACACTCAAGGTTCTCAGAGTTCTTAATATGTCCCTCATTTATAAATTCCGAATCAGAATATGCACGAAATGATCTTAGAGCAGGATCTATCGAAGAAAAGTCAGCAACAAAAATATCAGCATTATATCTATTTGTTACATTCTCAAATTATACTCACACAATCATCATATTGCAAACATTGCACTTTTACGAATTCTCAAAACACCATTTCGATGAATGGTTCAAATCAAAATATAAAAAAGAACATATGGGAAATGTAACAAATTCGGATGAAATGCATGCTAACAGCCAAAACAAAGTCATCGTCTGAAAGCTAAGAAATTGTTTCATAAGATGTTGTCTACAAATATGATCTTTTAGGAACGTGAGAATGGGCGAAGATACGAAGGCTATAGGAAAAAGAGAAGAGCAAAAAGGTGGGAATCAGAGTCTACATTCATTTCATAAGCATTCTTATCGATACGTTGATCAGCCAAGGACTAGCTCACGAGTGTATTCATATTCTATACATATTACATTCCTGTTTGGTTAATTGTATTGTAATTATCATTGTCACGTACATACTCTTACTTATGCGTAATGAATATTGTTCGATAATTTATTCGTGATCCACCGCAACAACAAAAAGCTTATTGGCAGCAGTGAGTGGTTACGATCCACCGTCCTCTGGGTTATGAGCCCTGCACGCTTCCACTGCACATTCTCAAATTTTAAACGACTACATTCACACAATCATCATATCATACAATCTCTTCCAGACAAATCCAGTCTTGTTATGAATATCGAATTATGAACATTCATATTCAGTTGGTTCGTCTTCTCATCATTGTTCTTATCAAATCTATATCTCATAAATTTGTCATTCGATACTTTGGAAGCAGTGCTGATTAAACGCCAATATCCGTTATAGCTGAATTCAATCCTTTTCAACATCATTCTTTAATTCCTAAACATAGATATTGTATAACTGTGACCATTGCGTTTGTCAAATAGGTTTAGTTCATTATATTGAATGCATTGATTCGTAACTATACATAGTAGACGTTATTGTCATTGCTTTGAATTGTCAAGGTTTAATGACAAAAGTTTGAAGTGTCAATTCAATCAAACTGACGCTAACTAAAGACATTCATAAAGTTACTGGATTCAATTCGGGTGAACTTTCATTTTCGAGATCATAAACATTCTCACATACAAGGGTGACTAGGCATCGCGAGAGGGAGAGGGAATTAGTAAAAATAAGGAATTGAAAAGATGAGTCATAAGATTCGAAGAATAAATAGAAAGGGTCTAGCTAAATTGTATGAATAGGTTACACGGTATTAAAATAAGTATGATAAAAAGATTGGAACCTTATGTCTTACAAATACGCAAAAGAGACAGATGGGTAATCATATAAAAAATACATACATGATAGGTTGGCCTTAAAAATAAATGTAGCAAAAATATAAGAATTACTTCATTATTCTCGGTCTTATCCGTTCGTAAATGATTATTCTTTTGTTATTACTAATATTATTATTATCATCATTGTTGTTGTTATTATTATTATTTACATTTTTATAAGGACCATATAAGGTATGAATAACTTGAGCGATTGAAATTCTCAAATATTTGATGTGCTTATTTTAATATATGGTTTAATTACCCAAGTTTGAGGTCATTGAACGATTAAACGATTTGATAGAAGCTATAATTCGTTACAGTACCGTTGTCGTAATTCAAATTGTTCGAAACAATTTGTTAGTAGTGGTTCGACTTATAACGTATAACGTTATAAAGTTAATGTAGAACGTCATTATACTATAATCAATGAGTATTTGTTTCGGCAATTCGAATATCTCTACTGATATTGAAATGTATCATCAACAATCAGCAATAATCTCCCGTTAGAATTGATTCCAAATATCTCCACTGATATTGAGACATAATCAACAATTGCCGCTTGTTAGAATTGTTCCCGTCAAATAATTTATCGGATCTTAATTCAAAGTATTTAATACCCAGTATTCGAAAGTTGGAACAATCAAGCTGGGGCTTATGCTACTGCAATGTTGAGCACACTCAAGCAACATCGGCCGAATCTTCAAGCAACTTAGTAAGACATTCAGCAAAGAAGCCATTCCACAACAGCTTGATCCTGTTGTCTTACTGCAGACTTTATAGCAATCTTGTTAGGAAATTTTATCGCAGATACTATTGTCAATTATCTGTTTTGACACAAACTTCTTGTTTGACACGTCAATTATTTCTTTTTTTGTGTTTGACACAAACTTCTTGTTAGGATCAGTAGAGATTTGATTATTTATTTGTTTTGAATTGTCTTCGGATTGTTTTATTGTTGCCCTTCACTTCTCTTGCCCTGAATCCGTATTGTTCACTCACGAACCGACGTACACGTTAAATTCTCCCTCTCACCTAGCACAAAAATCACTACGGTATAGTGGTCACAACGGGATGAATATTAATTCCGCCTTAGTAATTACAGGATCTGTGAGCCTCAATGATCGTCAGAAATGCACAAACACCTTGTATAATCGGATTAATAACCATCAAATTTCCAATGATCATCGAACACTCGTAAAGTCGTCCACTCACCGAATTCCGTGCATAATAGCTAACAAATTCCAATCAAATTCGCTGCAAAATCTAATGATCATCAAGCGATCTTTGGCCATATACGACGCGCCGCCTCGATCACCCAGGTACTTCGCATGTTGGTACGATGATCGTTCACCCGCTTCCAATCATATTGGCCTGATTCTCCACTCAATCGTCACGATTACAACAACCAAACCACTTACGGTTATAATGATTAAACCTACGTCGAGAGAATTAAAGTAGGTAAAACAATCCCGGGAAAACAATTTTTCATTGTTTTTCTGGCAAAAACAATAAATATAATTTGTCGCCTATTAGGCGTAATTATGTATTTTTTATAATGAAATATTTCTATTCAATCGGAGGATAAACAAATGGAAACATTCGAGAATGAAAGATTTCTCAAAACAAAACGTAGGCAAAACAAAATCATTGAATAGAGGCAAACAATCCGTCATTAGCTAATCGTAGGTATAAAAGACGAGACAAAAGGTTTTAGGGCATTCATTCCTTTCATCATTCAGCTTCTTTACCCATCCGCCATCGGTCGTCGGCACTAATCAGTGGCAATAGTCGCGGTGCGCTAATCAGCTTCATCGGTTCCGGTGTGCTAATCACTACAAGTAATTTCGGATCGTCAACTAACGCCAATCGGTTCCCAGCATCAATCCGTCAATCGCCAATTTGCCGACTCGTATCAAACCGATCGATATTTGTGATCCTATTTTATCCCGTTATTCTATGTTTGTATTCCATCGGTCTTGTCCTCCCTTTCCATCAGTTTAGTTATCTCCGTATGCGAAATTCCCATCTTGAGAATAGGAATTTCGCGAACAGTGCTTTGTTGCGACATTGGGGAGAGGAAGAAGAAGAAATGGATTGCTTTATTTGCCAAAAAACGGGTATGAATTGTTTTTTATTGTCGTCAGTAGAAATGTGTGTTTCAGGTTGCAGTTCGATGACCTGTGTGCTAGCTTTATTGTTATCTTTTTTTGTATACACTTTGTTTGCGATTCATTTTTGTGAGGCAAGGACACAGTTTGACACATTATTTTGACTGAATGAATGCAATTAAAAAATGCTGCACAGTAATATTGCTATAATTAATAAGCCAATGCGCTGCCAATGAGTCATTATTTTGAATGGTTCGTTTTTGATGGTATTAGTAGTTTTGTCTATAACAGAATGTACTTCGCTGAGAACAATATCTCTTTCTTCACTGATACCATTTTTTGGTTTTATTTGAAGCTGTAGTGATCGCATTAAGTTAAGAGTTTGAGTTTGGGCCCATGTGACGTTTTGGGTTTGGGCTTGAGTGTGACCCCCGGGAGTAAGGGCATTGCTTTAACCTAGCAAAATTTCGATATTGCGTAGTTGACTTTCTAGAATTGCTTGTTCATCGCGTGCTTTTTCGATTATTTACAATAAGTTGTTGGGTTCCTTGACATA